GGGGGGGGGGTTGCACTGAATTGACAAAATCGGTCATTATGCTACCCATATCAGTTCTGTACGCTATTGAACACTACAGTTTTACAATAGTTTTAGGTGCTGACTAAATAAATATTACATTATGTATAATTGTACAATAATTAATTCTAAGTTAACTAACATTCTGTCAAAATGGCTTATAAACAGGGGTGCACATTAAGTGGTGTGCAGGTGCGCATGCGTGACCAAAATAAAAAATGCGCTGTGGAAATAAGTTCAGACCGCTCACTGGCGGTACATTTCAAACTGAAAGCATAAACCTAGGCTATGTGCTGCCGGTTTCACAGCAACATGCAAAACTGGCAACCCACCAAAATAAAAGCTTGCTGATTTTAGGTTTGAAAATGATGAAAATTCATATGAAGAAATCAAACCGTAAAAAGGAAAAATAAGTAAATAAATGTAAATGTAAGCATTGTATTTTTAGGTGTACAATAAAATAACTATTTTTATTTAATACTCACTTTTTATTTTAAAATATAATATTATTACACTTTATTATTTTCTTTATTATTTGATTTTTAGAAAACTAACTAAATAAAGTGCAATAATATTCTTATTACTATGATTTTTTTTTTTCATAATTATATTTAATAGGTCACACTATATGTGCAGTGTGAGCACCAAACCAAATCTCCAGGTGCTCTTATGAGAACCAGACTGAAAAACTTATGTTCACCCCTGCTAATAAAGAATACAAAAGGAACAAAAGATGTTTTCATTTCTGGAGTAACTGTCAGTGAATAATGTGTTGGAAATGTTTGATCAATGAAGGGTGTTAACCAGACGTTAACAAACTAATAGACAATCAGGATCAGGATCACTGATTGTGCTGAAAAAGTACTCATTTTGTCTCAAAATAGATTTATTGTGACCGATACTGAACAAACATACAGTCATCAAGATACAATAATAGTAAATGAAGAATATATTTTGGTATTTTAAAATAAATCATATAGAGAAATTAAGCTGGAGTCTGGATGATAAAAAAACTAAATGTCAAAATGAAGTAAAAATTGCAGCTCAGACATGTAATCACTATCCGAGAGTTAGAATCCGTGAGACTCGGTATGGTTGTGATACTTCTTGCTTAAACATCTTTTATCTTGTTGTTCTGTTTTGTTTTGTTTTTTGCTATTTTATTTATCAAACTTTGATTTAATTTACTGCTTCAATTCTACCTGCAACATTTTAAAGTTGTTTTGAAATCTACAAATGATCACTCAACTGTGTAAATGAATGTCAAGTACAAGGAGAGTTGTTGTTACAAGCTACCACACTACCAAAAATGGTAAACAAATCTTATCTAAAAGCGAAAAATAAATAAATAAATAATGATAATGAATGCAGAAAAATGAAAAATGAACGAATAATCATGAATTGTTGAATTGTTATATAAAGCATTTAGATGGAAGTTTTGTGTTAAACAGGAGGGTTAATATCAATATGGAACACTCCTGTTGATTCAGTGAATGTAAAAAGGTTCTAACAAGTAGGTAATAAAACAAATGCAATGTCCAATCACTGATTTAAGATATAGCTAATATAAGCATTTGTATTGTGGCCGAGAGAGCTCAATGCGCTGCAAATAGAAAAAGCACCTGCAAATTAAGAAAACAACTTCATCAATTTGACAACACACGCGCTGCAAATGCCCACAACACAACCAAATAAAGAAACGCGCTGCAAATAGAAAAAACACCTGCAAATTAAGAAAACAACTTCATCAATTTGACAACAAACGCGCTGCAAACACTCACAACACAACCAAATAAATGCACTGCAAATAGAAAAAACACCTGCAAATTAAAAAAACAACTTCATCAATTTAACAACACACGCGCTGCAAACACTCACAACACAACCAAACAAAGAAACGTGCTGCAAATAGAAAAAACACCTGCAAATTAAGAAAAAAACTTCATCAATTTGACAACAAATGTGCTGCAAACACTCACAACACAACCAAATAAATAAACGCACTGCAAATAGAAAAAACACCTACAAACTAAGAAACCAACTTCATCAATTTGACAACAAACGCGCTGCAAACACACACAACACAACCAAACAAACGCACTGCAAATAGAAAAAACACCTGCAAATTAAGAAAACAACTTAATCAATTTGACAGCACACACGCTGCAAACACTCACAACACAACCAAATAAATAAACTCACTGCAAATAGAAAAAACACCTGCAAATTAAGAAAACAACTTCATCAATTTGACAACAAACGCGCTGCAAACACTCACAACACAACCAAATAAATAAACTCACTGCAAATAGAAAAAACACCTGCAAATTAAGAAAACAACTTCATCAATTTGACAACAAACACGCTGCAAACACTCACAACACAACCAAACAAAAAGAAACGCACTGCAAATAAAATTCTTGTGAGCCTTTGCAGCGCGTTTCTTTAATTGTTTGCGTTGTGAGCATTTGCAGTGTGTTTATTCATTTGGTTGTGTTGTGAGTGTTTGCAGTGCGTTTGTTGTCAAATTGATGAAGTTGTTTTCTTGATTTACTGGTGCTTTTTCTATTTGCATGTGTTTTCTGAAGTTGCAGCGCGTTGAGCTCTTTCGGCCACCGTACATGTCACATGCAAGACTGTCAAAACACAAGCAAACAAATCTAATTCCACAAAAGCATATGATTATATAGGTGTATATTTATGACTGTTGTACAATAAACTTGTGAATGCGTTGGAAAAGAGATAAGAAGTGCTTCTGGAAATGGTGAGTAACTGGAGAAGTAAACTTTCTTGTACTCAAACAAGGAAAAGGAGTCAATTATATTTCTTGTTACAGGAATGACTTTTGTTATGTCCAAGAAATTACTCTGTATTTCTGGCCTGTTTTTCAAAGACCCACCCTAACAGTAGACATGAGACAGAGGTCTGTTTGTAAATATGGAATATTGCACATGGTGTGCATATGGACAAATTTATTCAATCGATCGCCCAGATGTTTTACAGCTAAAAACTTTTTAAATTGTGACGTATCTTCAAGAATTAGTCTCTGAATTGCCTTTAAATACTGTCATTTTGTAATAGGTTAATTATTGAAAATGAGCACCCTGATATGCCTCGAACATGCATTTGGGTCCTTGAGGTGGCCTATCACTGGAATGGTCACAGTTACTGTAATCACACAAAGAAATGCTGCTCAGATAACACAGAGAAGCAAACTTTTTTCGCCTTATATTTACAAAAGAGAATTTCCTGAATATTTAATCAAGCTGACAATTCAACATTTATTTTGTCTTGACATCCTTTAGAGAACATAAAATAATGACCAAGTAGAATCAAGATGGCAATTTGAATTAAACTGAAACAGGTATACGTGGGAAATGTCTTTTATTTGATTCTTTTGTTTTTATAGACTTTTAATAAATGGATTCTAAAAGAGAATGCAGACATTTTGTTCAAATGAAAAGTGGTCTTAGCACCAAGCATTACAGTAAGCATTTCCTACCAAGGAAGTTTGCATATGTATTTTAAATGAAATAAAACCATATTGCACAACCTAGATGCACAAAAGGCCATTGTCCAAAGTCATCCAAGTTGCACTTTCTTTAAAGATCCACCCAAGAGGCAATGCTGTTATTACAGTAGCCCATATTTATCATGTTTTGTATTTATTATACATTCCATTCATTCAGTTACTTTTTAAAATAATTTTGAGAGATTGTATAAGGAAGGATGGATTGAATATCAATGCTTGCCCGGGAGCATGAAAGTTTGCACGTAGTACCTCAGATAAGACAAACAATTGTGGAAAGCTCATTCCTGGTTCATTCTCAGCAGTAAATAATCCGACCCCACAATTCAGACGCTTGAGTTGTGTTGTTTTGACTCATGAACTCTTGTGAATAAGACAGGAGGCATTTGAGGGCTTCTGAGTTCTGTGATCTGAGGTATGATGTTGCTGAGTGACCCTTGAACTCTGTATGTCTTAGAACTTTATAGCGTTTACTGTGGCTAAGACAAGAAGTTGTTTTCTTAATTTGCAGGTGTTTTTTCTATTTGCAGCGCATTGAGCTCTCTCGGCCACCATAGACATGGGATTATTGCTGCAGTCATTAATTTACTCACAATTGTGGTTTATACTGTTCTGATACTGATTCATTCACAGGTGTGGAGATTTTCCAATTTATTTGTTAAAGGCAGTTCTCAGTGTTTTATATGAGTCATAGCAGAGGAATATTTTGAACTGTTTTGTTTTTATACAAATAATTTCATGTTGCACAACCTGCAATACTTTTGGCTGTGACTATATTCATAATACAACATGGACTTGGTCACCTTATTGCTTAATGGTTATCACATTTTAAAAATATTAAGTACTCAAAATTTTAAGACAATTCCTTAATTGGCATCCTTCTTCCAAAAATGCAGTAAAATGATCATCTACTGTTATGCACTACAGTATAGTGCTCCGGTGTTTCATGTCATAACTGTTACTTATGGATTTTAGCATAGCTGGAATGCTGTAGCGGACCGAATCCAGGACCAGAACCATTTCATAAACATCATTGTAGTGGTATTTTACTTAATACACAGTTAAGGCCCAATCACACCAAGAACATTAACTATAATGATAACTATATAGCGTCCATGCTAATGGTAGATAATATTTTGTTTCTTATAAACGCGGTGCATTCATTTCGTCTGCCACTTTAAGTGCTCAAGCTCTTTAATGTTGGATAGATTCTGATTGAATGTCAATGTTTTTATCATTCATCAGCTGAAAAAAAAAATACTCTGAAATAGATTCCTTCTTGTTCTTCTGTCATTATCATTATAGTGTGGTGTGGACCGTGCTATTCTCATAGAATTCGGCCATCCAAGACGTGGATGATTTTGTTTCTTCATAGGAACAGATTTACAGATTTGGAGAAATTTAGCATTACATCACTTGCTCATCACTGGATGCTCTGGATTTTTAGGTGAGAGGACTACAGGGGATGGAAGTTTTCACTGGAGGAAGCTTTATTATGGATTATGTATGACTCGAGTTTTGGCCAAAAGAGACAGTTTAAAGTTAAAATACTTTAATAATAGATTTTTTTCTTATAACACAGCTTTTCTCTTCATATACATCTTGGATGACCTGAGGCTCAGTACATTTTCAGCTAATTTTCATTTTTCAGTCAATTATTGCTCTAAAGAGATATTTCTACTTGATGTAATCCATAAAAAAATTTAGTTGGTATAAATTAATGTATTTACTTGATTTACTTGAGTGATATTCTGTGTATATATATATATATATATATATATATTTTTTTTTTTAACTAATGAATTATTCTTGTGTGAGCAAACTAGCAGAAATACTGTAAGGTCAACTCATGCCATGCCATAATATTGACCGATGTCGAGCTGCAAGGGTTTGACCGAATGATTTGATATCGCAATAAGGTACCAAAAATAATGACAAATGTTAGACGTTTAATTCCTGAGCATTCTTAATGCCTTAGTTGTACAACTATTTTAATAATCCTATATGACTAATTATAGTGTACGTGTAGCTGTCAATCAGCTTTATTTCCTTGGTGCGTTCACTTTCCTGATACATAACTGTTATAGGAAACAAAAAGAGAAACTAGTTTATAAATAGCTTCTGGAGCTATTTTAAGAGGATAATTGGCTTTACATCTGTTTTAAATACTTCATCAACTGTTTAACCCCTTAGCATTCCTGTAAAATTTGAATGCCTAAAAAGGCATAGCCAAAGTAAATTGGATTGCATGTTCTTGAACCATTTGGACCAGGGACGTGCACAGACATTTTGAGGGGCAGGGGCTCAAGTGGGAAAAGGGCACTTCTCATACTTATTTAATTTTTTTTCTAAATAAAACATTAAATATATTAGGGGTGTGCGATATTGACAAAAAGAAATATCTCAATATTTTCTGGGATTTTATCGATAACGATAATTAGACATACTTAGATATTTTGCGGAGTGTGTTATTGTGCTGATATCATAAGGACTACCGTGGACAGCTGACTTTTAAAGTTTTTGATATTCTGCATATTCTGTGTGGTGATCAGTTCACAGCAGTGATAGAAATTAATCTTTTCCAATAAGTTTAAATAGATTTTTTTACCTTTTATGGGCATTTTTACCTTTATAAAGCCCTTTTTTCTAAAAGTGTGCATCATCTTTTCAGTCGAATTCTTAACTTGAATCAGTCAATTAAAATAAGTCATTTGGGCTGTTACCAAGAAAATGAAATCAGTATTGACAAAATTAATCTTTGCAATGCAGAGAAAACACAGAAGCTGCATCTGAAGTGACATTTAGATGCATTTACACACTGTTTAACGCAGGACATCAATGTTTTAACCTGCAGTTACAAATGCTTTAATACTGTTTTGATATTTTAAACACAAAACGTTCAATACTGATATTTGAAATTATAAAAAAAAAAAAAAAAAAGAAAAAAAAAAAGAAAATACTTTAACTGTGAAACTAAAACCGCCAGTAGGCCTACGTGGCGCAAATTGGAATTATATTTGTTGGTGAAATAGAGCAAAAGCAGTCAATATTGTGTCTAAAACTTAAGTGTCTTAACATTAAATTCTTGTTTATTGAACTGAGGTATAAAATCAATATCACATAACATAATCATGCTGCTTTTTGGTGGAAAAAAACGTCAGTCTTCGCGTGATACTGATTAACTATATGGAAGTATATAAATATACATTTCTGCCCCGATATCTTGAATTTTGTGATCATTCTAAATGCATTTTAATAAACTGAATCATGCAGTCAAAGGCGCACTGGTCTAACCTGCTAAACTTTAGCTAACTTACATGGTAGCGGAGTCATGGATGTTAGCAAGACAAATTAACTATATTTGCCTTTTGTCATTTGGATAATTAGCTGTAAATTCGAGGCACAGGTAGCTTAGTCTTTTGTTCATCACCACTCACCTCCACAGCAAGACAAACACAACTGGAAAGTGAGGGAGGGCTTCACTTCTGCCGCTGCGGTTCTCTGTTTGTGACTGTGATGTGCCGATCAGATTCTCAACATTTCCTGACCCGACCTGATATTTTGTTTTTTTATTTGTTTGACAGGGAAAGCTGTGCGCAAACAGTAACACGCACACGCACACATATATATTCATTTATTTGAAGAAAAAAAAAAACTCCCCAGAAAAAAAGGCTACTTTCTCTCGAGGAAGAAAAAGGGCAGGTACTAAAGCCACCTTTGATGTCTATGTGTGCACGTGCCTGATTTGGATTATATGCATGGTTTTGGTCTCTTTTGAAAGGTGACACTTTGAGGTTTGTTCCTAAACAGAAAAAAACCCAGAATCACTGTAAGTCTTATGGTATTGAGTAATGAAGCAATAAGCCCCAAGAAGCCCTGGTTTACAGTGAATTTATAACAGCTAAGGGGCGTTATTAGGCAGGACGCGAAGCGGCGTGCCTAAAACCCCCTTTAGCTGTTATAAATTCACTGTAAACCACGGCTTCACGGGGCTTATTGCTTTTATTAAACGGTTATTCCATATACGTAGTAAGGTTTCACAAAATAAAACAGAGCAAATAAAGTGTAATGATATTAATAAAAATATTATTCTTCCACCAAACAATGTAGTTCCTCAGAATCAGTTGTGGTTGCAACAAAGTGGTTGCCGAGCAACAAACGTAAACAAAGGTGTATGTTTGTAGAGTAATTTACAACAGCTTCGAACATGGCTCAGCCAATCAGAATCTAGGACCGGAACTATACGTTTTATAATAGAACTTTGAACACACTGAAAAAAAAAAAAAAACATTCTGCCTACAATTTTTTTCTATTATTATTATTTCTAAACAGATGCCTGCAGATAACTATAGCTGGGAGCAATTAGCTGGAAAACACATTGGGATCACAGCATGAAGCCTTGTTGGCACTCTGACAAAGACACTGATTCTCAGCTTTCCAACGATATGTGACATGTTTAGAGATGTTGTATATCACGAAGAAAAACAGGAAGTGTACCTCGGACAGTACAGTGGAATGCAAACAGGTTAAATACAGCATTTATTACCACAGAAAGAAAATAGCTATGAGCATTACCTTTTGAAAGAAAAGCTCAATTTAAAACTATTTTCAATATACTAAAACCTTTACGTTTTTAAATGTCTTGATGACTTTTTTGTTCATTCTATTGACATGACAACCTTCTTGCCAGTATTTATACAAACCATGCATGTTCATTTTTGTTGTTGTTGTATTATAATAATAATCAGCTCATTTTTAACACCACAAAAGAAAAAAAATAAATAGAAATTAAGCAACAGAAATTTGAAAACTTTTTCTGGTAATTACAGGGGATGGAGAACAGCAATATTTCAAAAAGATTTTGGCTGTTTTTATGAGGGACTTTCTTTCGGGTATTTTCCAGGAGGTCATCCTTTTGTTCATTACTGCAGCTGGCTCCAAATCAAGACCATGGGCACATATTTTCTCCCGGACTGCCTCAGTTGAGTGGGTGGTGTGCGAAAAAGCACGTGTTTTGTGCCCTCACCTGGATAGCCAAAACGTGCGTCTGGGGTCCTTTCCCAGGTGATGATGTTGGCATGCAGGTGGCATGACAAACCCGCACTGTTGATGACCTTGAGCTGATTCTGCAGAGGAGTTTTGGCGGTTCTTCACAGGCCGCTGTGACGCCAGCAGCTTCAGATCAATGTTCTAGTTGTCTGCCCTCTCATCACCCTCAGTTTGAAGACACACCTGTGAGCCCCACTTAGCCTGTCCACCCCCACAAAACCACCAGGTCATCATGGGAAAATTACTAAAGGATGACAGCCATGAATGGACTCCTCACGTTGGTTATTTTGATGAAAAGTCATTATCCCTTACAGGAAAGGTCCCGGGTTTACACTCCTGGAGCTTTCGGGAGTAATACTGGCCCTAACGCAACAAAATGTCAAAAAGCCATCCAGATAGATAGATAGATAGATAGATAGATAGATAGTCAAAATTGTAACTTGTCAAACAGATAGATGTGACTGTAGTCACTCGCCTAGGCTATCTATATATTGAATATGGTGATAGACACTAAATATCTATATAATACGTAGATAGAAAATGCACGTCTATATTGCCAGGTACAGTAGTAGCCATAGCTACTGTAGATAGATAGATAGATAGATAGATGGTGTTGTTTGCTTCTTAAACTGCTGTCATGTATACTATGGTTACAAAACAACACTGATGTTTTATCACTGACAAATATTGTGTCATAACTTATTTTACCTTGGTTTGAAGACAACACTGAGGTTTTATCACTGATAAATATTATAATTCTGTAATAACTTCTCGAACTTCGTCGCTCAGTTCGCACGTGAGCGCAGCCGCTTATCGGATTTGTACTCGCTCAACATTCAGTAAAGGCTCAAGTGACATAAACAACACGCCCACGTCTGGCTGGCAATAAATTATGAGGATACCGGTGATGCTGAAAGAGAACAAGGAAGAATAGAGTTCACACCGTCTCGTTCATCAGAAACCGCATCAGATGAGTGATCCTCGCTTTCCGGTCGAAGTCCGAGTTATCGGAGTAATGAAGAAAGGCAAAGACAAGGTAATAATATGTTGTATATTCGTAGGATAACTAAGTATTGGTAAGATAATTTGTTAATTTGTTTTTTACTGAAGTTCATGACATCCGTGCTGTGGTCAGACCAGAGTGAGTTAATAGTGTACAGATCTTTCCGGGACTTCAAAGCGCTCCATGTAGGTTTTACAGTCATTTATTTATCACAAATGGTTACTAGAAGTGTAAAAATCACCAGCTAACGTACTTTTCTTGTTTTAACAGAGGCAACTGAAAAAGAAGTTTCCTGTGGATAACTATGAAGATAGAGTGCTTCCCAGATTTGGAGGTATGATTGGCAGTTTTAGGAGATTAAAATGTGCATAATGTTACATAGCCTATTTAAATATACAAACTTCACTCAAGTCAAAAAATATTATTGTATATTGTTTTAAGCCTATAATATCATAAAGTAACATTAATGTTTTTAAATACTTTGTGGTGATGCTCTCACATTGCAAAGGCTTTCAGGCATTAATGATTATTATTTTGAACAAAATGCATAATTATAATGCATTTTTTTTATGTTGGAAGAAAACATATAGCTGAACTTTATCTGCAAGTCTGGCCATTAACCCTCTAGTGGGCCCTGTTAAAGGTGTTTTATTCACACTGTATTTGTTTTGTTGTTCAGATATGATTTCTGTTGTTTGCAGCCCAGTGCATGGTGACTTCATTTCAGCTGAAAGGTCTGGCTAAGTCAGTATCTCGTCTAAGGTGTCTGGAGAAATACTGTTCCAGTCTGTTGCAGTGTGGCACGACTGTGTCACATTCCTCAGAAGTCATTAAATTCTTCTTGCCTACTGAACAGGAGCTTCTGCCAGAATATACCCAGAACAGGTATGTAGATTATTTCCTTGCAGCAGATAAGCAGGCAACTTCAGCTTGCCAAAACATATACAGTATGTAGAGTAGGCAGCTCACTTCATATTTCTGTCTTGATCTGTTTCTGATTACCAGAGTTTAATTCTAATGTGATCCTGCTGGGAAGTGTTTGTGCAGTAAACGTCTGTTAAAGCTGCTCTCGTCTCTCTGCAGTGTGATGATTCTGCAATCAGACAACATCAACACTGTCAGCGGAGGACCTGACTTGGCGAATAAACGTCTGAGCAATGGCAATGTGACCCAGCCTTTTGTATCCAAGACATATCGATGTGTGGCTCCATATGAGACCAAAGATACAAAGAACAGGCCATTCAAAGTAACTGTGGATGAAAGACTGGACGTGCTGATCAAAGACAAAGCAGGTATGTATCATCTGCCTTAAGGAAGTGAAACGAAAAGTTTATTGAAATGTTCTTTACAGTCTATTTATATTTTTATGTGGGCGTTGGTTCTGAACAGGTTGGTGGCTTGTTGAGAATGAGGATAAATGTCTAGCTTGGTTTCCTGCTCCCTACTTGAAGTTATGTGATGAGGATGAGGATGAGTTTGATTCAGCTACCTTTGAAAGTAAGACACGGTTGCTACGTAAACTTTCTGTTATAATGAATCTCCAAAGATAACCTTGCTAACCAAACATTTTCTCGCTCCACTAGGTTCGCTGTACTGTGTTACAAGAAGTTACACCTCGAAAAAAGAGGACGAGCTCTCTCTGAGCATTGGCGCTGTTGTGGAGGTGTTACAGAGATCTGATAATGGCTGGTGGCTTGTTAGGTAATTCAAGTTCTTTACACAGATTGCACTGACATTCAAAGAATGATAGGAATGGCAAACTATTGTAAAGGCCAATTCACACCACACAAACACCAACAAAGAAGTTGGCTGTTGGATTTAGAATTTTATGAAAAACAACTGTCATGTTCACACTGCCCCAACAGACACTGACAAACGCTGATTGAACATGTTCACTCGAGCGAAAAACTAACCCCGACCAACGGCAACAGACTTTCGAGTTTGTTGGTGTTTGTTTGTGCGGTATGAATTGGCCTTAAGACGGATGTATTAATAGACAAGAGCAATGTGAAAGACAGGCCGCAGTTTTCATGTTTATGAATATTGATTCAAATTTACGGTCAAGACAAGTTACAATTTATCACGAAAGTCTACATGTACATGGAGTCTTCCCCATACAAAACATAAATCTTTTATTCCCTCTACAGATATAACAGAAAGGTAGGCTATGTGCCCTCCATGTACCTGAAGCTCTACAGCAGCCCCCGTTTTGGCCTTCAGACTCTTCAGAGGAAACTTCACAGCTCCACTATCCACCAGTCTGCCAACAGCTCTTTAAAACTGGAGCCTCAGGTCCACTCACGAAGCAGAATGAATAGTTTCCTCAAATCAAACTCTCTGGAAATGCTGTCAGAGCCGGTACAGCACGAGGAAGCTAGCAGCTTCAGCGATGATGGAACAGACTTCAGCTTCAGTTCCTCAGACACCACCTCCATGAGCCCAAGCATGTCCAGCTCAGAGTGGGAAGAGGGCCTGAGACAGCAGGATAAAGAGTCAGACAGCAATGATAGTGGTATGTCCAGTGGCCAGTCAACCCCCACCAACTCAGACACTGGTCACCCTATGAAAGGAGTCGGAGCTCCCAGGGTGCCACCCAGACCACAAACTCAGGAGATCCTACGTCGCTGCACGGCCTACACTCGTAAAGCTGCTCTGGCAACCTCTGCTCACCTGGCCCCTGAAAGTGAAGTCATGGTAGATGAAGTGAGAGTATGAAAGAGGTGAGAGAGCATTTGGGTGCATATGACAATGAGAGACTCTTTCCTTTTTGTGCCTTTTTTTTTTTTTGATCGTCTTTTGAGTATGATACCACAATATTAATCTGAGGTTTTTGTGATCTCTTTTAATCCTTGGTGGGGCTATATTAATACTATAAATATTGAATTAATCAAATATATTATACATAACCTGTTAAAGGTAGTTACAGTATACTGTACATATTTAAAGAGTTTTATTTTTTCATTAACATTATATTCAGACTGTTATCTTTTGTCCTGGAGCTAATGGTATTCCATACTGGAAAAGAAAAAAATATTTGGACTTTTGCGTTAATGCCTGCACAAGTTTCAATAAATGTTTCAAACTTCATTTTAATAATTCTGATGTCATGACTTTTTTCATGGGAGCTGGTAATTTAATATGTACAGACTATGTAATATGTACAGAAGCAAGCACTCAATTAAACATTTCCAGATAATGAAACACTGATAACTACAGAGACTGTCAGTGTAGACCACTTTATGAGTAAAACAAACTAAATTATTCCACTCAATGCTACTATATATTTAGGCTTATTTTAAGAATATAAGTCTAATTATTATTATCATCATCAAAGAGTTGAGTTTGTTTTTGTGAAAGTTCCCTTGCGTAATTATGACGGTAACATGAAAAAGTCAGCTACTGCTAATAAACTTTTAACAATAACATAAGGAGTGGCTGAGATGTATTTATAGGAAGCTGCATTTCCTTAAATGAAAAATAAAACCAGACATTCTCAGAAACAGTTTGTCGCCCTTTATTGCTTGTTGGTTATTATCATTCTAGAGATTTTGCATGTATTTGAGGACAAAGTGAGATTCTCCTGACAAATTCCCCTTATGTCAACATTGCATAGGATAATACAGTATGGAATGGCACAGGTACATGTCTTTGCAGCCTAATATCAACATTCGTTCACTATATTGATTATTCCACTTCCAGTTTTTTCCTGTATTCTGGAAATTGCAATGGTTTTGATAGTAAGTTTCATCTAGATTCCTTTTTACATTAAATATTTAAATTTTTCTAAATTGTTATCCACATTAAAAATTCCAGTATAATCATATGCTAAATCTGTAAACAAGTGAGTACAAAAAACGCAATGAAAAACATTAAGACAATGGTGTACTATGTAATGAGGGTAGATTTTATCCATAAGAAGCACATCTTACCTCATTCTCCCCTGTAGATATGAATGGTGACCAGTACAAACTGGTGTTTTCTTTATTGTAAAAAAAAAAAAAAAAACTTTTTAGCTTTTGCTAAAGTCTTTCCAATAATATAGGTATTGATTTAGTTTAACTGTTAAAGTATGGGACATAAATTCAGTTAAAGTGTATGACACTGTTTATTAACACATTATTTTCACATTTAATGATTTATAATATATTCTATTGTGCAGAGAATGCTGCTGTGTGTTCATTGGCCATTCAGACCTGTGTGTTTAGAGAATAGGGCTTGTAGCCTCTAGAACAGGCAGCCATTGAAGTTCACTGGTTTCCATAGCAATGCCTTTGTCTAATAAGTAAAACCTAGATGGTACCAAAATAGGGTCCCAGTGGTTAGTGTAAAAAAAGTTGTCAGGCGCCAACCACATTTGTTACTTGTGCTAGAATGGAAAAGAAGAGAAAATCGGACATCTGCAATGCATTTCTGAATGATCCAGGGTCAAGTGATCTCCTTTGGGATGTTTTGCTGCGTGTTGTTATGACAGATGCCTTTTTTTTTGCCTCTACAAATTATTCAACATATACAGCATCTGTATTAGCTGTGCCCTGGTCTCACAAGTAAAAATGGTGAGTTTTTCCATTTTTAATTACATTATATAAATTTGTGGGGGGAAAAAATAATATATATATATATATATATATATATATATGTATATTTACTTCACAAGCTTAAACTTAAAAATTCTCATAATATGTGACATGAATTTTTTTATTATATAAAAAGAGATTTTAAATAGTTCAAATAGTTTTATTTAAATTGAGTAAAATTAGTAATAATACTAGAATCCATATGACGTTACAATATAAATAAAATTATTATATATTACTTTTTAAATTTTATTTTGGTATTAGACTGGAGGTTATGAAGTGGAGCAGTTTGTGAATACCCCAGATGATGATCTGATTTGTGTCATCTGTAGAGCTGTTCTACGCTGCCCTGTACGACTTAAATGCAACCATGTCTTCTGCAAGGAATGCATTTTACAGTGGATGAAAAGGTAACAGTTTAACAGTATTTTGTGGAAACTGTGATTATTTCAGGATTCTCTGATGAACAGAAGGTTAGAAAAAAAGCTTTTATTTGATATAGACTTTTGTTTACATTGTAAATGTCTTTACTGACACTTGATCAATTTAGCCCTTGCTGAATAAAAGTATTACTTTCTTTCAAAAAAACAAACAAAAAAACTTGTTTGAGCAATGTTAAAGCCAGTGTTGTTTCAGACAGGTGAAATGCCCGTGTTGTAGGCAGCCTATCGACCAGAACCAAATGCTGGTTTTGTTTAAGCTGAGTAAATCCATTGGCCGTTTAGCAATCAAGGTAGGTAACTTTGTTTTTTTAATTAAAGGGATTTGCTTACCCTCGTAATATTATGTGTAAAGACACGAAACGATCGGTCTGTGCAAGAAACTAAACACTGTATTTATATATTTTTTTACCTCTGATTCACCGCAATGTCCAAACTATCCTGAGCACGTTCTCAACAGCCGGCGCATGACACGTCTTCTTCTTCTTGCTTTACGGCGGATCGCAGACTTATAAGTACATTACCGCCACCTATCTCTCAAATGGACCATTGACACTCCTAATTGAGATTGTAGATAGAGTGTCAATGGTCCACTTGAGAGATAGGTGGCGGTAATGCACTTATAAGTCTGCAATCCGCCGTAAAGCAAGCAAGAAGAAGAAGACGCGTCACGCATCACGCGCTGGCTGTTGAGAACGCGCAATTCGGACATTGCAGTAAATCAGAGGTAAAAAAACGTATAAATACTGTTCAGTTTCTTGCACAGACCGATCATCTCGTGTCTTTACACATCAGTGTATCGTCACGAGCCGCAGGGTTTAATTTGGTTTTGTTTGTGTATGTTTTTTTGACTCTCAAAGCCGTGATTCCCATTCACTTCCATTATAAGACTGACAGACTGCAACGGTTTGAGTTAAAAATCTTTTGTGTTCTACTGAAGAAACAAAGTCACCTACATCTTGGATGCCCTGGGGGTAAGCAGATGAACATCAAATTTTCATTTTTGGGTGAACTATCCCTTTAAGTCTAATATACAGTATAGTTAAAGTTCTAGTACTTAAACTGTGAATTTGAAACAACTACATGTGTCTGTGTTCTTAGTGTCGAAATGCGCAGCAGGGCTGCAGGGCCACTTTCCGGATTTCTAACGAGTACCTCCACATCTCCAGCTGTCCGTATGAGTAGCAGCTCTGTCCCCATGAGGGCTGTGGACAGCAGGTGCTGAGGAAGGCTGCGCAGGCGCATGATCAGAGCTGCAGCCACTGGCGACAGTTGTGTCCCATGGGCTGCGGCACGCTGCTCGTCCGTGAAAATCAGGCCCAACATAACTGCTACCGAGAGCTGCAGCAGTGCTATGTAGCCGAGCGGCGGAGGCAGAGGGCCATCGCAGCCAACTTGCGCAGGAAGATGCAGCGCATGCAGAGCCGGATGGCACAAATAAGGAGGCAAATAAACCTGATGTGTGAGAGCCTGGAGGTTGGCGATCTGGAAATTGAAGAAGGGGAGGGAACCAGTGCTTGGACAGATGCTAATGCCGCCAGTCCGAGCAGCAGCAGACACCGTCACACTAACAGCAGCAGTTCAAGAGTCAGATATATATAGCGTAAATACCTTTCAGAATTCAAAGAGAGCATTCAAGTTAGTCCTTTATGTGTGCGGTTTTATTAAATGTGTCTTTCCACTTTTATAGTCATCTTAAAGGGATAGTTCACCCAAAAATGAAAATTACTTGCATCTTTGTTTACTCACCTTCATGCTGTTCCAAACCTGTATGACTTTCTTTCTTCTGTGACACATAAAAGAAAATATTTTGAAGAATGTTTCAACTGTCCATACACTGAAAGTCAAAACTGGACCCCCACCACCCACTGACTTTCATTGTATGGACTAAAAAGAAAAAAGAAAAAAACAGTGACATCCACGTGTTCCACAGAAGAAAGAAAATCATACAGGTTTGGAACAACATGAGAACAAGTAAATGATGACAAAAGTTTGTTTGTGGGTCAACTATCCCTTTAAGGGCATCACAACACACAATATTACAGATTTACTGAGAAAAGAGAAAAGCATGATGATAAACAAAATTGTGAAGATTTTCTTTGCACATTCCTTCTACAGCTTTGAGAGGTTAATAAAGTGAGACATTGATGCTAATGCATTAAAAAGATACTGAAAAAATACTGTAACATTCAAATGCCTGCTTAAGTTCAGATATAACAATCCTGAAGTGACACTTGACAAGAAAATGTGAAACCATACAAAAAATGTCTTTGATACTAATGATAATAATTTCTGATGTAAAATGCAAATACTTCTGGATCATCTATGTGCGACTTTTTTCAAAAAGAGTTGCATTTAATTCTAAATATGAATTCTTAAATAAATTCATTATTATTTGATATTTACTGATTATTTATTACTCATGCTTATTTGTCTAATTTAAGCCACTGTGGAAGTTCAACCAATCAGTTGTCCTCAGGACATAAAACGCAATAAAGTAATAAAATGGTTTATTCACACATTAAGCCACTGGTATGATAAGAATAACAGACTTGGGTTTCCGGGATGATGGGAATCTTACCCACTGTGCCTTGTATTGATTGTATTAGGAGATATCTAATTCATTTAGAGAGAACATGTGTGGGAGTTACTGACATTTTGCTCTGTGCTGCAATGTTTAAATGAAGTTGAATGTAAATTACACTACTAGAAGTTTGTTGAAGTTAAATGGTGTTACTGGTTTATTGTCATGTCTATCCACAAGGAGGCACTACTGTAGTTCTGCAGAATGTTCCAGATCACACCTGTCAGTGGAGGCCATAGAGGAATGCTGGGAGAG